CGGGGCGGGCGTGTGGGGGGTGCGGGCCCCTCCAAGGGGGGCCCGTACGTTGATGCAGTAGTGCTGCTGTGTGCGCCAGAAAGCGGCGGGGCTGCACGTCGAAAGTCAAACTCCGGTCAACCTTGGGCCTTGTGGTGTGCGGTGATACATTGCGTGTTGTGCAGAAGCTGATGCAGGGGTCTTCTGTACGGCGGCGGCGGCGGCAGCAGTGACCGCATGGCATCTTCACAGCGGCGCGCGCATGCGGCGGCGAGGCGAGCCGGCCCCTGCAGTCTGAGGGCACAGCCCCGCCTGCGTTGCGGCGGCGTCGGTCAAACGGACAGCTTTGGGCAAAGTTAAGGCCTCGAGCAACCTTGCGGCCTGAGGCCAAACTGACGGCCTCAGGGAAAAGTGCGGAAAAGTAAAGCACGGCACTATGGACGCGTAGCGTGCGTCGCGCACGCGGCCCGCGCCTGGCGAGCCGCATGCAACCCGCACGCAGCCTCTGCGCGTGATTCGAGCTGGAGCGCGGCAGAGCGCGGGAGCGCCCGAGGTATTCGGCTCGACCCAACCCAGCGAGAAGCAGCCGCCGCCCGCGAGGGGCCGGGGCCGCGGAGCGCCTTGGGGCGAGGAGGGCGTGGGGCGGCGGGCGCCTTGGCGCGCGCGCGTGCGCGTGCCAGGAGCAGAGGCGGGGACAGTGGTATGAGATAAGGTCCTGAGCGGCCGGCAAGGGAGGGTAACTGTACCTAGAATTCCTATGGGCGAAGCCCACATCACATGGCAGAAAGCAAAGCCGAGCAGAACAACACGCACACAACACGTCGCGCGCGCGCGCGCCACAAAGCGCGACCGCCTGCTGCGCGCGCGCATGCGCGTGCGTGTGCATGGATCTCGCAGCGGCGGGGGGCGGAGGGCACGCGCCGCGGGCGGCGCCCCGGCCGACGAAGCGGCGGCGGCGGCGCCGCCGCACGGGGCTGCGGCGCACCTGCCCAGATCCCTGTGTGTCCCTATGCGGTAATCAGTGCCGTGCCCCGTCATGCCCTGGCAACCAGAACGAACAGTGATGCCGCATGCAGGTGCCTCAGAGTGGGCGCGGCCCCCGCCGGGGCGGGGGCCTGGCCGCGGCACAAAAATTCAGGCTGTTGGCGGCAAGTGTTTGAGTAGCGGATGGGAATGGGAGCGGCCAGCGGGGGTCCTGATGCTGTGGGGCAAACAACAACGGCCTGGGTGCAGTGCGATCTAGAGCCGCCGGCGCGTGCGACAGGCGGTCGAGACGGCGCGCCTCGCAACGGGCAGTTGAGAGGGGGCCACAACCACCGGCGCGCCGCGGCGCCAGGGCCCTCCCCAACGCCGCAGCGCCGAGCGGGCGCTCGACACAGCGAGGAGTGGCGGGGGCGACGGGCCCTCGCAGAGGGGCCGCCTCAGGCG